CCAATAGTTATATGATTCATGATAGTTTAAAATTGAGTTGGTCATCTAAGGATAGGTAATTAAGGTTTGAATGAATTAATATGAAATTCAATACCAATTATTGATATACCATGATTAATTGATCTATATATGATATTATAATTGAAAGCTTTTAAATTTAATATGATTTCATTATCTTGATATTCATAATTCTCATGATTACACTCCTGACTAGTTGAATGATTTCAAATTGTCATGAAACTGATACAGTAGTGTTTATTCACCTTTACTAAGGTCCTGTATCAGTTTCATGATGATCTGTATAGTGGATGTCATTGTCACATCCCTGTAGGTGTCAAGTAGATCAGCCATGTAGCATGTATGATATGGATGAATGTCAAAATGATATTAATGTATTTCATTAACATGTATAGATGTATTGGAAGTGAATTGAAGTGGTATAGATTTCTACCTTCAATGTTAGAATAGGTCAGTTGACAAGTTGAATAGTAAATATCTTGAAATGATACCAAAGTATTTGAAATTGATATATATTGTTGTTAACATGATTTATAAGGTGATATATTGATTTGAATTGAATTTGAAATGTTTTCATTGATATCCTAATTGTCTAATCTATTATATGAAATAAACTTATATAAGTCATTATAATGATGTAATATTATGTTATAATATGATTATATATTCAATTTGGAGTATATTAATATATAATATATTGATTTATAATGAGTATTTATTGAGATAATTAATTAAGATGAATAAAAGTCAAAATATTGGGTCTGACCTTAGTCGTGGGTTTGGGTTTGGGTTTGGGTTTGGGTTTGGGTTTGGGTTTGGGTTTGGGTTTGGGTTTGGGTTTGGGTTTGGGTTTGGGTTTGGGTTTGGGTTTGGGTTTGGGTTTGGGTTTGGGTTTGGGTTTGGGTTTGGGTTTGGGTTTGGGTTTGGGTTTGGGTTTGGGTTGGGTTTGGGTTTGGGTTTGGGTTTGGGTTTGGGTTTGGGTTTGGGTTTGGGTTTGGGTTTGGGTTGGT